GGTGCCGGGGGGATGCTCGGGATGGTCTCAGGTCCCAGCTGGGTTAGGGCTATTCGTGGAGCCTATTTGTGGGGTGAGGGGGGCTTATTTCACTGTGGGGAATGCTTTGGTCAGGGGTTGTCTTACGTTCATCCCGTTATCCTGCACGGCACAACGGAGCCGGTGTGGTCTTCAGCCACTCCCAATCCCTCTGGTGCATGATCCAGTGATGCCTCCAGCCTCCGTGGGGACTGGGGACCCCCTGCGCGAGGGAGACCTGCCAAGGTGCCCACAGCAGCTGCATCCCTGCCTGGTGACCGCGGTGCCACATCAGCGCGTGGTTCCACTTGGAAGCCATGGTGGCCAGTACGCAGTAGCAGAGGCCGCCTGTTCCCTGCGTTGGTCCTGCCCTGGCAGGAGGGTCTGAGGGATGCTGAAATGCCCCGTCCCAAGTTCCAGGTCAGCACTGGAGGTGCTCAGGACCCTCCAGGACACCCAGGGGATGTCATGGTGAAACCAGTGCTGGCCAAAGCCGAGGACGCCTGGGAGATGGTCGCTCCAGGCCTCTCATATCCTTGCACAGCCACCGCCATGGCCATGCTGGGCAGGTTTTCCCCTCTGGGCTCAAACATGACTGGTTGCCAGCAGCGAGCACAAGCGCACACATGGTAGAACTTCCCCAGGTGGGGCCCCTCCGAAGCTACTCGGGTGCCTAGAGCCCCAGGTGCCCCCCTCAAAAGCTGCTCCCCGCCTCAACACTGGCTTCGGATCCGCAGCATTTCCCTGGGGGTTGCACCGGAGCTGGCAGCCCACGTGGCCCCATCCTGGGCTGACACCAGTGACCACAGTGCCAGGGTTTAGGCATCCCTGTGTGCGTGGGTTTCAGGGGATTTGCTTGCCCGGGACGTCAGTGGTAGCAATGTGGGTCTCGGTTGTGTGTCACCCCACGGATGCCGGGGCTAATCTGAGCTCTGCACCACGGGGTGCCCGCTCCTGCACCCCACCGCTGCATCTCCTCCAAGCGGCAAAGCTCGACCAGCCCCCACGGTGATGCCGACCGCAGGGAGCTTGGGATGAGTGGGAGAGGGCAGCCAGGAGGTCTCCAGGGCCACCCTCCCACAGCCCTTCTGTGGCTCCTCACCACTTCATCCTGGTCTTGAGACCAATGGGCTGCCGTGCAAGCAGGGCTGGGGTTGGCACCCTGATGCTGTGGCTCCAGGAGGTTTTGGGGAGAAGCAGCAGCAGGGGACCCAAGGGAAGTGGGCACATTTCTCCCAGCCCCATCAGCCCGTGATATATTGGCCAGGGGGGATGAATCCCAGGAGATCACGCAGGAGCCCCCAAGCCCAACTCTGGGTGTGCTGCACATCCTCTTTTTATCCTTTGGCCGTATCCTGGGTCTCCTCCGAGTCCCAGAGACGCCTCGTGGCCGTGAGTCCCAGCCACTCGTCACGCCCCCTCTCAGGAAGCATCTCCCTTCATCCGCTTCCAGCCGGCTGCTTTTAATTTTCCCTTTTTGGTTTTTATTACAAGGAAAGCCATGTTGAAACTGCCGCTTCCCCCTCTCCAGGCCGTTTGCTCTTTAAATATCGCTGCTTTTTTTTTTTTTTCCCTTTCTCCAAGAAGCCAAACTATGCAGGGGCGAGCATGCATCGCTGCCGTCATTTTAATGACGCTGCATCTCTAAAGCCAGATTCCCTAATAAAGAATAAATGTTCCGGTGGGCATCCCAATAACACTTAGGGTTATTTTATTGTAAAACAGGGATGTGGTGCAAGAATCAAACAGTCGGAGCAGGAAATTGCAGTGTGACTTAGATGGTTGGGATGTGTGGGCAGAGGTTACAAATACCTAGAAATACTGATATACAGCTGCTGCACGGGGGGAAAAAACCTGCCCTGTGCGCTGCAAAGCAGGGCTCGACCTGGGCTGCAGTGCTTGCCACTATCCCGGGGGACAAAAGCCAACAGGCAGGGGCTGAGGAGCAGAGCATCTGATGCTGCCCGGCTTTCTGGGAGGGTCGGTCCCTTCCACCCAGCTGGGTGCTGCCGCGGTCCTGCGGGTGCCCCGAGGACAATGCCGAAGCTGCAGGCACCCAGGAAAGCACCACGGGGTGGGTTGGGACATGAACTTATCCAGCAAAAAGCCTTAAAAATGATCAAACAGAAAAAACAGTCCCTCCCAGCCCAGACAACTGTCACTGCTCAGCTTTTTTTTTTTTTTTTTTTAACCGTTGAGACTGAAAATATGTTTAACACCAAGTTTTTCCTCTCTGGTGGTTTTTCTCTTCCGCTTGGCTTCTCTGTGGGCGGCCCCCATGGCGGAGGGGGCAGCGCCAGGGCAAGGGAGGATGCTCCTTCTTGGCTTCAGAATGGGAGAAGCTGGCAAAGGGATTGAAAAGTGGCAGAACTGGGGAAAAATGGTGCTGTGCATCCCCCCGCCACGGGCATCCTTTTACCATCCTTCTACCTCCTTGTGCAGAAGCAGAAGGAAAAGGAAAATGCAAACGGTGATGCTGAAGTGGAAATTAGTGCAACTAAAGCTGGCAGTTCATTTCTTTCCCCAGGAAGGGGATGGTCACAGCACTGGGACTTTCGTCGCCAGGTGGCCGTGCCGGGTTGTACAGCTCATGGGTGACCACCGGAATGCTCACTGCGTCCTCATGGGAGCCAGGGTTTTGCGTGGCTCATCCCTCTGCCATGTGCATCCTCGATTTGGGCAGCTGGAAACTTGCCATGGAGAGGGGGGATAGATGGGAGGTGTAAGGCTTGCACGGGCTGCTTGTCCCCAAGCATGGGAGATGCTGGTCACCACCGTTGCTGGTTGATGGCCTCTGCATGTGGGCACTTAGTTGGGGGACCTGGTGGGGATGCACGGCAAGAGCTGTCCCCATGCCTGGGATGCTGTGCCTGGCCCCAAGACCCACCAGCAAGTTGGGCAGGGGGGAGCTGTGCAGCATCCCACCCTTCTGGCTGGCGTGGGGGCAGGAGGATCTGGCAGGACAGGCACTGACAGCAGTTCCTTGCCCTCACAGTGGCCCACCACGACCTGGAGAACACCCTGAACTGCAGCTTCATTGAGCCGCCCTCCGTGGTGGAGCAGCCTTCCCCATCCTGGTCATCCCGCGGCTCCTTCTCCTCCTTTGACACCACGGATGAGGGGCCAGTGTACTGTGTCCCCCACGAAGGTGAGCAGGGGGATGGGGCACTTCCCCAGGGGACTTCCCCCCAGGTGGCCATCACCAGGGGCCGCTTCCTGCTCAGTGGAGAGGTGTCACCCTTGGGCGGTGGAGACCATTTTACCCCAGCTCCTCATGTTGCCCCGGCTCCTCATGCTGTGGGAAGGGATGAGGGTGCTCATATTGCCTCCTGTGCGGTTTCAGAGCTCATTCCTCTGGCCTTTACTGCTCCGGGGTTGTTTTAAGAGCCTTCTTGTTCTGGGGTGCCTGACTGGGAGGAGGGGATGGTGGGACCTGAGGACACACCAGGGTGCCCGGGGGGAACCAGGTGGGATGCCATCCCACCGTGTTGTGGGAGCATCTCGGTCCTTCCCCTCCCCAGGCACATCCACGCCTGACACCCCCATGCTCTCCTCCCACAGAGAGCGTGGGTGACAGCAGAGACAGGGGGACACCCGCCAGCCCTGGGGACAAGCTGGTGGCCCCGGCCGGCGGGGAGGAAGCAGGCGAATACACCTTCCTGAAGGAGACGGGCTCCGTCAGAGCCTTCCCGGCCGACAGCAGCGAAACGCCCCTGCTCAAGTCCTCGGACAGCGAGCGCTCCTCCTGCGGCTCGGGCTCAGCCA